CTCTCGGTGGGAATCCGGTGGCAGCGAGATGCAGTTGTGATGCGGCTCCATATGGGTCGACGTTCACTGTAATTAGTGGGAATTGTTTTCTTTCGCTCTTTCTTATTTTTCTATTTTCGCCTGTATGTTTATTCCGGTAGCCCGCTGATACAAACATGGTTCCAAACATGAAGCACGTAGATGCTTTCTGTCAGTTTTAGTGCAGATATATGTAGCTGTCGATTTTAAAAAATGAATAGAACCCACGAGAGAAGAGACTTCTGTGGAACAAACAGCGTCTTGCTCCGACAGACGAGCACCTACAGACCCTATTCAAGACCTAAAATACTCCCACGGCTTTTATTTTATATTGCACTTCTTATTGTTTGCTAAAAATGTTCCGTCTTGGAGGTGTTTGCCTCTAAAGTGAAGGATTTTTCAGCTTTTTTAGAGTTTTTAGCGGCGTATCATGTGACCAGCTCACGTGGTTTGTGGAGACCATAAAACAAAACGCACAAGTTTGTCTCCATTAGCAGATAATTAAAAAACAGCCACAGGAGTCGTCTTTCTCACAACTCAAATTAGCTTCTGTATTTCAGCTGTAAAACCCTAATGGATAAAAAACATCTTCAACTTGCAGTATCTTGGTGTTTGGAGTGTGGAAAATGAGCGATGTGTGTTCATGCTCAGGACCTGGAGCTGCTGATTCATTGTTAATGCACACGCGGTGTTTTTCCAGCACATTGCGGAGCTGTCTTCTCGTCTGGCTGTAGCTCGGCGGGCGAAGCCACAGGAGGAGCATGTTTGGATGCAGGTTCTGGGTTTGAATCCAGAAACAGACGGAAGTTGCAGCATTTTCTCACATTCTAGTGTCATATTGTCATTCATTAGCTGGAATCACGACTTGTGTGAGTCGGCGCTCTGGTTCATTAGCACGTGTTTGGATCTGCAGCCACGTCTTCGCTCGTTATGTCCGTCCAACGCCTTGATGGGGTTTGGACGGGCTTCCCTCCCACCGAGCAGCACCCAGCGACCCTCCACGGCCGCAGCTGATAGGTTGTAAACCCACTCCAGGTGGGCGTCGGGACTGAAAACAGCGCGCACGTTTTTCCTCTGCGTCATTTTTGTCCTCTGGGCACGACTAATCACATTTCCCACTCGTTGTAGACAGAGCGAGGAGTGGGCTGGAAGATGCGAGGAGGGGGGGGGGGCATTAAAGATTCGTGGTTGTCATGACAGCGACCGGCGAGGAGACCGACTCCCTCGCCCACAAACTCCTGCCTAATTGACATGCACCCGCCTACTCCGGCCCCTCCCAGCTGGATCCTCGCACATCCTCACATATCAGGAGATCAGGAGTCGACCACCTCCAGACCGAACCTCCATCTGCATTTCACCGCCGTCCTGGTTCTGTTTCTTCCTGCTCGATAGTTGTGGGACTGTTGAGGCATCGGCAGCATTAGAGAACAATGACTAAACACCTCTTGAAAGATGAAGCATCTCGACCACTTTTTAAAAAATGTTCTCAGGTCATTGACTCTTAATCCACTGAATTATTGAAACCAGTCAGATGCTTCACTTTCCATTTGCTTACGATGGTGTGTTAAAGCTGACAAAGCTTCAGGCCAGTAGTTCAACGTGCTTCGCAAAAGCTTCTGCGACTTTTTTATGTAATTTATTGGTTGGAAGGAACTCCAGTGAGAATTATGACACGGTGACTCGTCTGCAGCCTGTAACAGCACATTATTACCAAGTAGGAGTTTTAAGTGTCCTACAAATAATTTTCTGTTTTGCTTTAAACCACACTTGTAAACAGTTTGGCTGTAAGTGGGACCTTCTGAGTTCCTTTAAACTGTGTTTTCGCTCAGATGTCGCGGTCGTGTTCGGCAGCGCGCTCTGGTTTTCATCAGGGCCGGTGTTCGTGTGGATTCCTTTTGTTGTTTCCCCGTGGTTACAGCACAATTACACAGATTTCAGATGGCATGATGTATTCCTCGAAGCTCCGCGGTGAAATATCACCCGGACCACCTCGGTAACCCCAACAGCCGTAATGAAGGAAATATGAACGAGCCTGTAATCATTCCCTGCTGGCTTAATAATCTGGGCTCTGTGGATGGAATCTTTTTTTGTCCTTTCTGAGGGCAGCGCTGCTTGTCCCTTTCCACTCATCTGGGCTGGTGTTTCCTGTTCTTTTCCATCCTCCAGAGCTCCACTTCACGGGTGTCATTCAGCGTGAGGGGTCTTGTTTGTGGCTTGTTATGTAAGAAGAGGAATCTGATCTGTAATAGCTTACACTCATACACAACCACTAATAAGATTTTTGGTGGGCAGTAATCACTTACGCCTCGGTTTGCCAGTGCGGTCTAATACAAGACATATGTATCAAGCTGTGCAAACAATGAAGCACATGCTAGAGAAAACCTACCTCCACATCCTCTAACCGCTAAAATAAGCATTTATTATCTCAAATTGGTTTGCAGCAACGCAGCCATTTAGCGGAGGAAGCTGCGAGGTTGAGCCGAGGCAGGCATGACTCGGAGGGAAGCTTCGGGATTCTCTGTTTGGAGAAATACCACGCCGCCTTCGTTGCCAGGAAAACACAGCGATTCCTTTGTCGGGTGCCAAGGGCGTTCACATGGTCATTTATATGTAAATAGAGCAGAGACACACAAACACATACCTCTCTTCTTTCAGTCTACCTTTCTGCACATAAACAAACACTCTGGCCTCTCCTCGTGTGCCTCGGTTGCTGTGTTTCTGCTGGCAGGGTGCCTTTGTTTTGCTCCACGGCAGCGCAGGGGTGGGGATGCATTATGTAATGCGTGGCGTGTGCCTGGGATATAGAGGGAGATGAAGAAGGGTGTGACTGTAGTAACACACACACATTATGACATAATCCACTGACCTCGTCCGCGGCCCGATCCTGTCCGCCCCTCCTCTGAGTATTCCCGGCATCGCGCTGTGAATTTGGGAACCACAGAAGAACATCCTCTTTCACCCTCCATTAGCGTTTGTGCAATCTAGGACAAAATTGCTACCGCTGGTCCTCGAGGACGGTCTCTCACTCTAATGTCATGTGCAGGGCACAGAAACCTCCATGGGTTTGTTCTTCCATCCAGCTTCCATGATCAGGGAGGCAGGAACATGCTACAGTGCTGCTAGATGTGTCTCTGTAATGTAATGTGTTGCGTGCACACGTTTAACTGGATTTCTAGAAGGCTGCAAGAAAAAAAAAATCACTGTACTTGTTCTCGTAGTAGTTCTGAGAACTGATGAAGCCTCTTGGATGAGAAGTGAAACGTCTTCAAGAAACTCAAGCAAGTCCAGTTGCTACGATTAAACCACGAGAATAACCGCGACCTGGACGACTGAGAGTCTTCACAGACATCACTTTATTTTATATTAAACTAAGCCGTCAAAAAGGCTCCGAATACAGTTTGCATGATAAAAAATAAAGCGAATGATGAGCAGAAAGATCTGAAGGTTTCTTTTCACTTCCTCAAAACAGAGATATTAAAGAATAATTATGAATCCTTAAACATTATTGTTTTAATCAATAAAAAACACATAAACCAGTAAGACAGAAGATGTTGTAGTATCTGTCTGGTCCACCAGGTGGATGTTGTTTATTTAGACGGAGCTACAGTTGTGTTTGCTTAAATTGTGCGCACCTTTTTCTAGCTGCTAGCTGGCAGTCCTGTTGATGAACTCTGCAGCGTTGTTATGGTTGTGCGGTGTAGCTAGCAACCTGAGCTAGCCTCATGCTAACGCTAAAACACTAACAGGCTGGAAGCTGGGTGTCCGTTAGCAGAGACGCTAACGTTCAGACGTAGCAGGACTCTGATTACATTATTAAAATGAGGAAGTTTATCGGCGTCGCTCAGCTCTGAGTATAAATCCATTTTAGCGGTGGCAGTAAATACCGACGGATTCCTGCTATCTGTGGATCAGCTCCAGTTAACGAGTTGCTCCGCCATGTAGATCAGCTGTGATTATTCACATATCAAACTGCCGTGTAGAGATTGATAACGTTACAGGTTATTTACTGTGTAAAGCTGCAGCTCGTCTGCTGTGTTTAATACTTCAGTCGATTTTGTTGGGCCAACTGTTGTAAATGAAGCTGTTATTTTCTGTGAGTTAATTTCTAGTTCAAGTAACCCAGTGTTTATCTGTTCTGCATATTTCTAATGTAACTGAGCTGGTTTCTGGGTGAACATTACCGCCGTGTGCAATTCATTTCAGCAGTAACGTGATTATTAACTGTTAATGTGGGCGACGATCAGTTCAGGAAATTTTTTTTTACATTTTCGTTCCAAGTTGATTTAACAAATGAAAATTTCCCCAATTTTTCTTTTTTTTTTAGAGTTCATAAACTAAAGTGAACGCCTGCTGGGTTTGTATTTACACCTTCCATATGCTTCCTCCCTCACACAGCCGGCAGCAGTGACCTGCAGCAGCAGGAAAATAGAGGGTTTACCTTGTCTATCTGCCTCCATTCCACTGTGAATAACCTATTCGCACCACAGTGAGCCGGTGTATATAATTAATATTGATTACAGTAACGCACAGCCAGTACTGCGTCACCTCCCACACACCCACATGGTTCATACAAAAACAGGTTCTTCACCTGCTGGATGGTGGGTGATGATTGTGACATATAAAAGGCCTGAGTGGGGTGAATTTGTCTCCCCGAGGGGTGCAAATGGCATTTAAATATGGAAATTGATCTGTGGGTTAGTGCACAGCTCACTCTGTGATAATGAGCAGGAGCCCTCCGTATTGACTTGTTTGCATTAAACATACTGGTGCTGTTACTTCTGTAGGGGGGTGTGCCTGCCTGATTGTTTTCGGTGTGCGCCCCTTCGTGATTACAGTAGTTTCCATAATGGAATCGTGCACTCTCTCTGCCGTGGAAGAATGTCTGTTTTTCATTTGAGAGACCTTCATCCTGCTGCAGCCGTGTGGGAAGCATCCCCAGTATCATTAGCCACATTCTGCTCTGTGGAGCGCAGTCCTCTGAGCTGAAAATGGTTTCTGTTCTTGTGTTGCAGATAAAATCGAAGAGGCACAGAAAGAGCTTAAAGACCCCAAAGGCCCACAGAAAGGTAAGAGACCTTTGATCAACCATTTGTTTTTAAAGACAACATGCGAGGAATACTTTCTCTTTCATTTCAGTGCTTTCTAGAATTTTCTTTCTTTTTCACCATCTGCTAGTTAAGCAGGAACTGAACAGCAGCTAACAATTACTTTCATTTTCATTTCTTGATTAATCTGTTAGTTATTTGGGCTGTGAAATGTCAGAAAACGGTTTCTCAAAGCCCAACATTACATCCCAAAAAAAACTCTGTTTGCTGTCTGGGAGGAGAAAAGAAACCAGAAAATATTCAACGCTAAGAACCTAAAGTCTGAGACTTTTGAAAGACTTTTTTTTTTTCCTTAATTACCCAAACCGACAAATCATTTATCAAAATAGTTTAATAGTTGACATCTCAGTGAATAATGACTGCAGTTTTATACTCCTGACATAATTTACACTGAAATAGGTTTTTCACTAAAATTACTAAATTAAATCCCTGATCTGAGAATGTTTTAGGGTTTTTGTATTGTTTTGTATTTACTGCATCGTCACTGCAGCAGCGGTTCATTGCAATTTTGGTGGTTGTTTTTAAACACTATTCATACATTAATGTGCTTTAAGGAATGCTGCATGTATGAGGGAAGTTAATAATAATGTTAATAAGGATGCAGCTGCTGTGAAGCATCTGGATTTTGGCTGCAGTCTGTAAAACTACATTGAATATAAATGTCTGCTTTGACCTCTACCATCCTGGGGAACTACTGTACTGACAGGATTTAGTTTGAATACCTTTTGCTTGAATACACTCTATTTTAGCAGGGACCTGTAGTCACGATTCTAAATTAATGTTCTGCGACAAAATAAAAATTTTGAGACCAAATTTAATGATAGTTAAATATTTAGAGAAATCGACAATCAATTGTGTAACGTTTCCTGGGTTTTTAATAGTTTGCGTGGATGTGGACAGCGATCTTTTTACAGAAACCCTACGATGGCATGACTAAACACACCAAGAACAGCTTCCTTTGTTAAGTGGGGTGTTATGTAACTACGTCCAAATAGAAAAGCCTGTTTGGTTAAGCTTTGCCTGAGAATTAACCTGCCGAGCTTACCTCATCGCTGCAGCATTGTCCTCTTAAAAACACCCTGTTTATGTGCAGGACAGTAAATGAGATTGGGCGGTGACACTGAGCAGAGTTTCAATGAGAATATCTCCGTTCCTGATGTCACTGGCTGCCAGCTGAGCAAAGGTTAATCCCTCTGACAACCATCCCGGTAATTCTGTCAACAGCTCGTTCACACTGGATGGCCTAGATTTACATTAAATATATGCTCCTCATATGGTTTAAGGACAATTATAGAATTGAAACTGTGAGTGAAAATAAAGGGTTGTGTTTTTTATCTGGAAGTAGCCTCAGGCGCTTATAGACACGAACAAATGTTGTTTGTTTATGATGAAGACCTCGTGGTGAAGTCATGGAATCTCCGCTAAGACTTGTTGGAGTAGTGCGGAGGAAGAACTAATCCTTTCCCATGTCTTTGAGCAGCAGTTCATACAAATGTTCTTTGTCAGGCATCGGTGAAAACAGTCTATTTAAAACAACGTTTTATTTTTGATATTTTTTTTTAATCACGGGCTCGTTTGGAGGCCGTGTTCTATCTGTTGTGCGTGTTGTAAAGCCTCTCGCTGCATGTTTGCGTGGAGGATGGATTAACTTATGTAAAGACTAGGCGTTCCTCAATCTAATTATGCCAGAGGCCTTGAAGGAACCCTGACCTCATCTTGGGAAATACCTACATAAGCCAGGAAACAGTGACAGGGCACTGCTAACCTTACGCAACATGTCCTTAAAAACACTTATTGCAGGGCCAACCGACAGATTACGGGACACCACGGTACGGTTGCGCCCTTTTAAAAACACTGCTGCTATTATTATAGGAATGCAGTTTTGCAAGCATGCTGATGCAGTTTGCCTATACCTTTTGATTTGTTTGTTACGTTTTCTCATCGGCCCAGTTGACATTTCAGAAAAACAAGAAAGGGGAGAAGTGATTGTTTTCTTATATAATGACGCGTGGGCCCACATGGTATTAGTCACACAGCAAATAAGGCACAGTTCTGGTGATGTGTCTCAATTGTAGTGTGTATCACAATCAAGCTCTAACAAAAGAAGGTAGTGCTCAACTGATGAGGGGACAAAGTAGAAGAATTCAGCTTTGGTGAAAACTTTCTAAACGCTCCTACATGGCTGTTCATTGCTAGAGCTTGTTATAAAACAGCCACAGATGTTAAAATTTTACATAAGAAGAGTTGGTCAGGACTGGTTATTAGTAATGAAGGAGGCTGATAACCGATTTAAAAGTTAAATCATGGTGTTAAAATGCAAAAAAAAAAAAAAAAACACTTTAAATGACTTCTATTCATGTCTTACATGTTTAATAAAAGGTTCCAGTGATGTCCTGTGGGTAGAACATTACTTGAAGTGAGACTACAGATAAATGTGGCGGCATCAGGATCAAAGTATTGCTTTTTAACTTTTTTTGGAATCTGTAAAAAACAAACAAACAAAAAAACTAATATTCAGACATGCAATAAAGTTTGTACTTCTACATACCAATGCAGTAAATATTAGTGGTGAAGGTGTAAATAGAAAACCAGAGTTTGCACAGCTTTCACAAAATAAAATAAACAGTAAACATACTCAAGTGTAAGATTAGAGTAGTATAACTAACATGTACTAAATATGTAATATCTGTAAACGGGGGTCAGCCTGAAAAATTATCGCATCCAATATTAACATTTTTCTCATTATCGGTATTTTTTTTTTAACTGATTTCTCCAAAAATATTTTAAGATGCACTTCATGAGCAATGTCTCGCCCACAGCACAATCTGATTGGTTCCACATTAAAACATTTTGAATATAAAGTTGGAAGGATAAATGCTGGAAAGTTCTCTTTTAGATAAACATATGTCGTGCATGACTAAACAAAGGCACATCGACCAAGTTTTGTCTCTGAATTTCTACTGTCCTCACTTTTGATGTCAAGATTCTCATATTTACGGCGAGCGTTTATCAGTTCGGTCCCCTTGATGACTACTAATAGTTGTAGGTGCTGACAAAAATCATATTGGTCAGTGGCTGATTCCAAATGTTACTCTAAATATTGTACCGACTCACACTTAGAAAGAAAAACAATGTCATGTCTCTAATTTGTCCTCTGTGCTCGCAGTAAATGGTTATAAACTCTGATTTCTACATGACAAGTATTTCAATAACACTTAAATTGGTAGCAATTAACAGATGCGACTTATTGTTAGTTTTACAGACAAAAACTGTACCTGCGGTTTTCTGTCATTTGCTGAGCGGTTGATTCAAATATGGTTGAAAATCCACTTAAATGTTGCTGATGTTTAAATGCAAAACATGTATCCAACAACTTAATGTCTAAAAGTTCTGAGATAAATATAAAACACTGCTTGAGAATTATGTGCACTGTCTAATAGAGTTCAAATGAGTTTCATGAGTAAATACAGAGATTCCAGCATTTCAGCAGAGGAGGAAGTACTTTAGTGCTTACTCTGTATTGCAGAGAAAAGTTGTAAAAAGATGTTTTCTATTACGCCAACTTTCCTGTTTCTCATTGTTGTCTCTTTCGCCACAGGGATATCTGAAAGCAGTCGAAGAAATGCGGATAATATAAAAGGCCTGAAGAGGAAGAAGGTTGTTGCAGAGAATCAGCTGAAGAAAATTCCCAAATCTCCGGTGAAGAAACCCCTGCAACTGAAAACATCAGAAACTGCTCTCCGCGGATCATCCTCCAAGGAAACGACACCTTCTTGCTCCTCTTCCTCCAACAGTCCTTCCCACAACCCTTCAGCATCGCCCAGTGAGAGAAGAGACTCCCAGTATGGCCAACCAGTTGCAGCATCCCCGGACAAGGGGTCGTGTTCCACTGATGCTGAAAGGCTGAAGCAGGAAAAAAAGTGTTCGAGGCCGCCGTCACTTGAGCCCACAGATGGTGAGGACGGCTCTTTGATTACAGATAAAGTGACTCAGCCAAAAGACAGCAAGAGCCAAGAGCCCAGCTTTGAGGGGGAGCCTTACCACAGCAGTGCTCCGCTGGATGTCCTGCTGAAGGCCATGGAGCCGGACTTCAGTACTCTGGCTGAGAGGAAAAACTCCATACAGATCACAGCCATTGGTAAACCGGCTGCCACCCTCCATGCTCAGTCCAGTGGTGAAGTAACAACAATGCCAGCTGTCAATGTTGGACTCCAGACCCAACCTCCCCACATGCAGACCTACTACATTGACAAACAAGGCAACTTCATTGGCATTGCAGCACCACTACAAGGAAACGTGCAGACGCCCACGCAGGGTGCGCCGCATTTTATGCCCGTCGCTTCCAATCCAGAAAAGCCTAGCTTACACATGAACTTCAGTGCTGGACCATCCACTATAACGCACGCACCTGTTCCCTCAGGCTCCAATGCTTTGCCACAAAGCCAACCGCCAGTTGTGCACACATGCCAGTCCCTCTCAGCCAGTGTTCCCAGCACCATTCAGGTCCCAGTTACACCTGGCAGCAACCAAGTTCAGATGACCACTGTGATGAACTTTGGCGCTGAACAGGTTTCCAAGGACCAAAAGCCGAAGAAGCCAGGAAAGTACGTTTGTGAATACTGCAACCGGGCATGTGCAAAACCCAGCGTACTACTCAAACACATCAGGTCTCACACCGGAGAAAGACCATATCCCTGTGTTACCTGTGGCTTCTCGTTCAAAACCAAGAGCAACTTGTACAAGCACAAGAAATCGCATGCTCATGCCATAAAACTGGGTCTGATTGCACGCTCTGAATCTGGAAGTGGATCGCTGTCTCAAGAATCTGACAAAGCCATCGGGACACATTCGGAGGAGAGTGGGGAGAGCGATGAGGAAGGTAGCACTGCAGACTTGGACCCAGACTCGTCACAGAGCAGCGTGGCAGCTTTGTCTGAAAATAGTTTACAGAGTGCTGGTACAACACAAGCAAGTCATGGGGATGTGGACTCCTCAGGTGTGTTTGAGTCGGTCAAGCCACCTCCAGGTCAGAGGGCTCATGAGCCTAAAGTGACAGCTGCACTTCCAAAAGTTGTCGTGTACCCAGTGAATGTTTCCCCTCTGAGGGCAGACAGTCCAAGAGTTACAGGTGCAGCACCTGAACAAGCTGCCGCACAGCGACAACGAGAGTTCCAGACTGCAAACCTGAGATCAACCATCACAGTCCTGTCGTCCCTGAAAGAGGTGGACGGTACGCATCCTTCACTGGACACTGTGAGTGAAGATGAAGACCACCAGTGCAAGTCCCCGCTGCTAGGTGGACATGCTCAGCTTCAGCGGCAGCAAGCAACAGACTTTTCTCAGCAGCAGCAGCCCAAATGTCTCCTCAGTCCTCGCAGTTTGGGAAGTACAGATTCTGGCTACTTCTCGCGGTCTGAAAGTGCCGATCAGGCCATGAGTCCACCCAGTCCGTTTGTAAAGATCACTCCACCCATAGACGTTGACATCGCAAAGAATACTCTTCCCAACGTCCCTCCTGTGGTGGCTACAGTAATGCATGTAGCAGCTGAGCAGAGGCCACGGCCCACTGAAGGACAGATGCGTCCACCATTAGAAGCCAGCGCACGCTCTTTGGAGGAACGAATTTCAAAGCTGATATCTGATAACGAGGCAGTAGTTGACAACAAGCAGCTGGACAGCGTAAAGCCAAGGAGGACCTCTCTGTCAAGGAGAGGCAGCATAGACTCCCCTAAATCCTACATATTTAAAGACTCTTTTCAGTTTGATCTCAAACCAATGGGACGAAGGTCAAGTTCCAGTTCAGACATCCCCAAGTCCCCTTTCACCCCCACAGATAAATCAAAGCCAGTATTTCTTCTCTCCGTACCTTCTCAATACCCTCCAATGGATTGTTTGCCAATAACAAGGAGTAACTCTATGCCGACTACACCTGGACACTCTGCTCTTCCCCTTAACGTGGTCCCCCATCCTCACCCTTTGCGAATCTGTCAGTCATTTGATGACAAAATTAGTTCGTTGAATGACGATGTGTTTTCATCAGCACCATCAACCCCAAACCCTGCAATACATTCTCGTACTTTGGTCAGACAAGCAGCAGTAGAGGACTTTTCCACAAGTGAGGGCCACAGCCTCCCTACTGTGCGATCCATGGATGAAGGCTACCATGGTCCAAGCAGCTCTGCAGAACAGATGCAGAGAAGCAGATCTTTTGAGCACAGTCAGGACAGAAACAGAAAGCCTCAGCAAAATAAAGGCACGATGTACGAGTGTGAAACCTGTCGTAATCGGTACAGAAAGCTGGAGAATTTTGAAACTCATAAGAAATTCTATTGCTCTGAGCTTCATGGTCCAAAAAACAAGCCAATGGCTGTTAAAGAAACCGATCAAGATGTTTTTCAAGGTAACATACAGCATCCCATAGTCGCAAGAGCGACTGGTGGCTCGGGAATACTTGATCAACAGACATCAATTAGGAAGAGAAGGAAAATGAAAAGTGTTGGCGATGAGGATGATCAATCTCCGACTGACACCATTCCACCTTGTTCGGTTAGTTTTGAGCTACCAACAGCTCTGGCAAATAGGACTTTTACTCAGCATGCTTTAATTGTAGACATACAGCCCAAAAACAACCAGCCCAAACTACCTCAGATTCAGCTTGTAGCAAGAGGTATTAATACTTCAGATTCCAGACTGTCGCCAATACGAGAGACCCAGATCAGCACTTCTACAAAAGGAGAAATGCAACGGCAAGGCAGCGGTACTTCAGTCATTAGACACACAAACTCTCTCAGCAGACCCAATTCCTTTGAGACAGAGTCAATTGACAGGGTCTCTCCTGTTGATAGCATGGAGAAGGATCCTCTGAACAAACCCAAAACAGATGTAACAGCAAGTGTCTCAGCTGACAGCTACCATGAAAACATGTCCAAACCCAAGAGTACCGACTACGGAAAACAAAGGAAGGAGCAGTGCACTGATGGAGCAGCAGTCAGTGAAAACTCCACTCCTGTCCATCAGTCTCGCCTTGTACGTCAAAACAACATCCCTGAGATTCTGGTGACAGAGGAGCCGGACAGAGAACATGAAACACAAAATACTGAGCCAATCGATAAGCCTGCAGATCAGTTCAGCTGGCCTCAGAGAAGCGAGAGTTTGTCAAAGTTACCAGCAGAGAAACTTCCCCCTAAAAAGAAGAGAATTCGTCTGGCTCAGATGGACCACTCGTCAGGTGAATCCAGTTTTGAGTCCAGCCTCTCCAGAAGCCTCAGCAGGGACAGTAGTCTGTCTCGTTGTTCCAGCATATCAGCTTCTTTTGACAGAGATGAGCCATCTAGGTCAGAAAGTCCTTCTAGAGGTGAGTGTGTTGGCAAAATTCCAGAGCCTCAGTGTTTGCCAGCAGCTTTCAACACCCTTGGCGTGCCAGGAATGATGAGGCGTGCCGCATCCGAACAGATAACTTGTACTCAACCCTCTGTGGAGATTTCATGTGACTACCGTAGCAAGTCCTTCGACTGCGGCAATGTATCTCCCAGTAGATCTGCGTCACCTGTTGGTCAGCCGAAAAGTGGACAACTCTCTCAAGCTGCCCAGGTCCCACTAATTGAAAGGAGGCGAGGACCATTAGTTCGGCAGATGTCTTTAAAGATCGGCCCGGAGAGTCAGCAGCCTGTTCGGAAAGCTGTGGTACCTCTAGATAAACCTCTCATGACAAATGTTAGCTCTTTCACTCATAATAGATCCCAGCAGATTCACATTGCCAACAGGCGCAGCGTGGCTCAGCCTTTTATTCTGCACACTGGAGAACCACCACTACAAAAGAATGAGCAAATGGTGCAAAGCATTAATTTGGGTAGCCCAACTCAGCAGCCTCAAGTCCATGGCCTTCCACACCCTTGGCATCAAACATCAAGGGTTCAGATTTGCCAAAAGATACATCAACCGCTCAACCAGATTTTAGTTTGTCGTGAAAATGTCCAGAACAAACCAGCTGACCCTGAAGACAAGAAATGTTTCGTGCCCAAATACCAACTGCAGTGTCCTGCTCTGAGTGCAAGCCAAACGTTTTCATTCTCCAGCACACAGGGAACTCAGATAGCCTTGCCAGTTTTAACAATTCCGATTGCCAATCCGATTTTGAGCATTTCAAAATCATCAGATGTAATTCAAAATGTATATGTGGCTCAACCAAACCAACATGCCTCTGACCTGAAGACACAGACTGTTGTTCTGTCAGGTGAACAGCAAAGGGATCCATTTGATCAGACTCAATCAGGTGTAATACCACTGCCACAGATCCTGATAACTCATGAGCAGATGCACCCTGCTTCATCTATGTCAAACAAAAATAGCCTGTCATCCAGTCACAGTGTAGAAAGTGAGACTCATGTTGTACCAACTGCAAAGAAGGACAGGACTCAAACAGTAGGCGCTCATAATCATACTGGAGAACCATCACCGTCTCTCGGGTCTTTGCACTGCACTCAGAAACTGGCATCAGTGACTCTGTGTCCACAGCAGGAACCTACTGCTTCGAGTAAACGGATGTTGTCACCTGCCAACAGCCTGGACATCTACATGGAAAAGCACCAGAAGCGGGCCAAGGATGAGCATGGGGTGGCCTGTCTAACGGATGGCAGATCAGTCAATTATCTTAATTCTAAGATGTCAGAGGTGACCCGACAACGGAAGCTAATGCTTGTTAGACAGGTTTGCACAACGGAACCAGCCGACAGTCCCATTGAAACTGAGGCCCCACCCCTGCCCCGGGTTAAATCCGATGGAGAGAAGGACTCCGAGGCCACTGATGATGTTAAACCTATGTCACCTGATGCTGCTGGGCTGGATAAAGACACAAGAACTGTTATCCACGAAGAGGCAGGCCCTGTCCTGAATACCACACCTGGTACTCAGGGCAACTCCCTGCCAGCCAACAACACTCTAAAGCCCCAAGAGAAAGCTGAGGAACAGAGGTGGACTCCAGCCAAATCCCCCATTAGGCCCTCCAGCTTCCACGGTGGTCAGGTGAAACTAACCACATCTGTGTCTGTGGTTAACACCAAAGACAGCCACCGCCTGTCTTTCCCCAGCCTGAAGACTGCCACTACTTTCACATGGTGTTTCTTGATGAAGAGAAAACCTCTTCATGTTCCGCAGACGGACCTGAAGACTTCAGCATATGCTGCCTGGACAGTCAGCCCCAACAATCCCAACCCGCTGGGGCTGCCCACCAAGGTGGTCATGTCTCTGTTTGACTCCAAGCAGAGCTCCAAGAAAATACACTACACTTCAGCCATAAGGACCAGTGGGAAATCGGATATCTTGTCTTACTCGGGCAAGCTGAAAGATGTCATGCCCAGGGTAAGAACTAACATTCTACAAAGTTCTTACTGTTATATATATATACACATGCAGTTTATTGAATCAGATAAATAAACACACGAATTACGTCTTTGTGCAGATCCCAATTACCCAGAAGTCTGTATCAGTTGAAACCAGAAGTAAAGTGCAACCAGAAACTCAGGCCAGCAACGATTCAGACAAGGACTTGGCATCTACCACGGAACCAAGACGAGTCAAAATATTTGATGGCGGGTATGATTCACAACAGCTAATAAACTGAATAACTGATGAGTTTTACTCCACCTTTCATATATTGATATTACTTGCTTGGTTTCAGATGCTTCCTTCTAATGTGTATGTGCCTAATGGTCACATTGCAAACCCACAGATACAAATCTAACGAAGAGTATGTGTACGTACGTGGGCGTGGACGGGGTAAATACATCTGTGAGGAATGTGGGATTCGCTGCAAGAAGCCCAGCATGTTGCGCAAACACATCCGCACCCACTCCGATGTCCGGCCATACCACTGTGTCCACTGCAACTTCTCCTTCAAGACTAAAGGTTAGTGTCAGTGATGTAACTCTAGAGCTATTATCAGTCAGTGGGTATGGGATTCTGTGCATAAACTCCACACACCATGATGAATGTACTCAGGGCTGGGCAACGAGAACCAGCTCTATGGAGGAGGATTAGGGCCACTGTCAAACATTTATTAGTGCTCTGATGTTCTGAGGTTTATTGTAGAATTCTAACAAAAAAAATTGAACTCAAATTTAAATACACTTAAAGCCAGTTCCATAATTCCAATTACAATGAGAAGTTTTAATTCTACCTACCGGTTCCTAAACATATGTAACTTGCGATAGTGTCTAATACCCAAATAGCAGTGTTTTGTGCTTTCTTGAACACTGTTCTACACACACCTGGTTCGTCTGCCATTAGCCACACAAGTTGAATGTTGGCGTGTATTCCCATCTCTTAATGTTTTTCTCTTAACCCTCTGGGGATGCTTTAATTTACTACCAAAGGGTAGTAAATTTGCCTCCGGTGTATCGTTAACCTAGGAAAAAATTTGAAATTTTAATTTTATGATTTTTCATGAGAAAAACCTTCCTACAAAAAATCGTCTCATTCGGAGTAACACAAAAAAAGTTACAGCCAAAAATTGAGCAAAAAATCACCCGAAAGGACAAAAATGTCCCCGATATCCCCAGAGGGTTAATAAATTCTGAGTCTCTCGTCATTCTTAGTTAACCTATTCAGCCAAAGCGCTTTGCAACGAGGGGATTGGACTTCAATATTGTTAAGCAAACTACATGCAAAAAATTCAAGAACCCATATGAGAGCACGACGACTGCTTTAACGAGCTGTTTCTGCGGCTAAACATTTATCTGTGTTAAATGACTTTTCACACATCTTTTCTGTGAAGAATGCGGTAGGACACTGTAGTGACTATGACACGAACAGAGACTCTATTTCTCTTCTGTGACAGTAAACACAGCTGACTAAACTAACTTTACTGCCCTTTTAGCAACACTTTACTGTGACTGCAGCAGCTAACAGAGAAAAACCCACTTCCCACAAGAAACCCACTCATCTACGTCACCACCTCCATTAAAGGGGATGTGCAGGCTGTGGCCTTGTAACTTCACTTGTTAAAACACATATTATTTTGTATAATTACCAAGTGTTTGTTTACCTTCACAGACAAAGATAGTAATCAGATCCTTTACTTCAGTAAAAGTACTAATGCCAAATGGTCCTGCATTGGACATGTGAAAGGAAAAGGTACTAAATCCAGTAAATGTTTCTTGTTACTATTATACTATATTATATATTTAGATTATTATTCCTTGTGTGTTAACGTAGTTACAGTAACTGTAGCCAACGTTAAAATAAAAATGATACCAAGCCCACATACATGTAGTCTTAATAATTTATAGAATTATACGCGCAGAGGCTGATCTTGCAACTGAACATAAAATGTGAAACTACAAATTTGAAGTGAAAGGGTTTACCTCTCCTTTTTACAAGCTATGAAATTGAAGATGTTCCTTCTCCATCTCTTAAACCAAGACAGTATGATTCACCATTCTTTATCGAACTTGCCTACCCACGCGACACTGCAGAACAGTACTTGGTGTCAGCAACCCACGTTCATTTAAAAATGTCTTTATCAGTTACTCACCCTTTACATACAGCTTGCCCAAAGACTGCATACTCTTACATAAACTCCTTCTGTGCTATTGTTCGAGCTCTACCCACCCGTAAGACCTTATTGCCTCTCTTTTTGCAGGGAATCTGACCAAGCACATGAAATCCAAGGCCCACAGTAAGAAGTGCATGGAGATGGGGGTGCCTGAGGGTCTCATCGACGATCAGGATGCGGAGGACTCTGGTACAGTGCTTCACTGCTTCACTGCTCAGGCTTTGCCTCGAGGGGAATACAGAAGGATCCCTGTATGCATGGAGGCTGTAACTTATACAAAATGAACAACTTCTCCGTTAAATCAGGAGTTTATGTACAGTACATTGTTCCACATGTAATATTGAATTAATGCAGCCTGCTTCTGTTTCAAACACCAGGATTGCCCTTTTTTCCTATAAATAGTTCTCGTCCTGTTAATGGCATGAGATATAAAACATGGATTGTCCCTGCTTGTGCTCGGTTGCTGTGTCGATCAATAGCTTTGCCATGGTCTAATTAGAAATTCTAAATGCAGCTTCTTCCTCTGTTAACTCAAAGCGCATGTGGGCGGCATGCACAGCGTTTAGAAAGAGGAAATTGCTGCGTCTAATTTTAGAAAAAAAAGAGAGAGAGAGAGAGAGAGAGAAGCTGCCTGAAAGCATTCTATGGTCCAAGTCTCTAAGAACATATTTGTTTTTCCTCCTCTGCCTGTGATGGAGCTCAGGGCCGTATGGTGGTCCAGGGTGTGAATCGCTGCTGCAGCAGCACTGAACAACCCTAAATAGGATCCTTAGTAGTGGAAAGAAATCCGAGATAATGGGAGATCTTTTATGAATGCAAACAGTCAAATGCTATCAAAGAGCCTATCTTTTTCATACTAGCTGTGATGACTCATTTTCTGCAGAATGCCCAGATTAGACTAAATATTCTGTCATCTGCAGGAGACCGCAGTCAAGTGAGCAGCGCTGACCGTCAAGATTCAGACGGCGACGACTCCGATGGTCCTGACGATGAGGAGAATGATGACAACGAGGAGGAAGAGGAGGACAGCCAGGCAGAGTCTGGACTGTCTACCAACCCTTCTGTCTCTGCCAGCCCACAGCACATCCCCTCCAAAGAGGCTGAAGTGCCTCCTAGTGCACTCCTTGCCCAGATGTCCATCAGCTCAGTGTCCCTCCCTCTGCCCCAGCCTCCACTGCCTGAATCCCACCCATCGTACTCTGAATCTGTCCCCATGATGAGCCCCGTCTCCCTGAGCAAGCAGATATCCATCTCAGGGTCCTTCCCCAACTCTCCTCCACCTGTCGCCACCACATCAGAGTCCTACACCTCAGACACAGAGTCAGTGCACATGATGAGTCCAGTGTCGCCGTGCAGGCAGATGTCCATCGACTACCCTGACTTTGATGTGCCCCCTAGTCCCCCAGTGCCAGGCAAGGCCTCCAAACTAGTCCAGGTGAGACCCCCATATTCTCACTGTCTGTCTCTCCATCCCTCCCTGTCTGCCTCCCTTCTCTCCTATCCATACCCGTACTTTGTATCCTGCATGCGAGGCACTTCCACAAAGCTCCTGTGAGTTCTCTGACAAAAGGTGAATAGTCTTACAGGCTTGGTGGATTCATCCAGATAACATTTTATCTTGAAGGATTTCACAACCATGAAGTCAGGAAATAAGATTACTTCTCTGTGTTTACAGGACATGTCTGCCCCTCCTGCTGTGGCGACCAGTGAATCGAGTGTACCGGTGGACCGGGGCACGCAGACCTCCTGCTATGCTTCTCAAGTTCCTACACATTTCCCCCTGCAGGGTGTCTCCCAGACAGCCGGAGCAGAGACCCACCTGTTCAGTCACCTGCCCCTGCACTCCCAGCAGCCCTCTCGCTCCTCTTACAGCATGGTCCCAGTCGGGGGGATCCAGCTGGTGCCTGCTGGCCTGGCAGCTTACTCCACCTTTGTACCCATCCAGGCCGGCCCCGTCCAGCTCACCATCCCAGCAGTGAGCGTCATTCACCAGAACACAAGCCCACTGCCAGCTCCCAACACTCCCCCCCACCCGGAGAACCTGCAGACCCAGCCACTTGTGGTCCAGGAGCCAATCAGCAGTGTTGTACCCTGCTTCCCTCTGGGGCAGGTTGCCGGCCTGCAGGCTCAAACCATACAGCCGGTGGGTCTGGAGACACTTAACCTGATGGGTCTGACCAACACGGGCCTGGCCTCCACACAGCTGCTGCCCCAACAAGGCCTCACCCTCAATGCCACGCTCGGGCTGCAGGTTTTAGCTGCCAACCCCACCTCCCAAAGCAGCACCGGCCCCCAGACACATGTCCCAGGTCTGCAGATAGTTAACATCGCCCTGCCTGCCATCATTCCCTCTCTCAGCCCTCTGTCCACCCTCAGTCCTCTCCCTGGGTCCTCTGAGCGGCAGAGCAGCCCCGAAGCTCCGGGAGCACAGCCATCTCAAAATGAACATGGGTTCGGCTCCTTGCGGAGCTGCATGCCTGCTTCACCGCCGGCCCCTTTGAAGGTCAGCAGCTCTCCAGAACTTACCCCAGGCAGCAGGGCTAGTCCTGGAGGTAACAGTGGAGCAGAGCTCACACAGACTGCAGAGAGGGAACAAAGAGACAAATCCCCACAGCAGCATCCATCACCAGCTCCACAGAGTCAAGCAGACAGTCCCAAACAGTCACCCGTCGAGGGAGCTAGTGATCCTGCACCTCTAAGACCAGCACCAGTGACCAGCTGGCAGAAGGCAATTGATGACTATAATGAGGTATCCAGTGACGATGAAGACAGACTGGTCATTGCCACCTGAAAACCCCACGTGGAAAGCTCTTCTTGTTCTCTTTTTGTAATTCTTGTCACTTTGTAAGACTGAAAACACTTTTCAGGGGTTTGTCTCTTTGCAAATCACCTTTCAAAGCACAGATGCTGACATTCATATTGTATGTGCAATCATATGATAATTATAATGACGACCAATCATTTTGTTTTTACTTTTGTCAGCTCCAGACAGTTTCTTTTTTTTGTACATGTTGTATAGACAATTGTGCCTTTATGGAGTTTCTTGTTTAGGAACCTGTACATAATTCCTTATTAATTCAGTAGTTGCTTGTGTTTATTTCAAAAAAATAGAAGTAAAGAAAGGCATAAGAATGGAGGCCACAAATTTTATTTTGGAGGATTTGTCATTCGTAAATTTATGGAAATATAAATGTTGTACTGGTATATGTACATTTCTATGGATTATGGGGCAATGTTTCTGTGTACAGATGTTGTGTTCAACTATTTATTATAATCCATCTAGTGCCCATTAAGATTCATAAGTCCATAGGTATGTGCATTATGGTAGCTTTACATTGCTGTATCAATATTCTTAACTGTATCAGTAAACATTTGTTTATAAACCTTTAAGATGTTTTGTTGTATTTTACTCTTTCTTTGAGCCATACTTGGGAATTGATTACCATTGATTAACAGTGAACAAACTGTAACTGCTAGAAATGAGACAGTGGCATGAAAGTAATTA